TGGTGCTGAATAACTCATGTGCACAGGGGATTCTCGCGGTACTGCAGACTAAACCAGACAAAATTCACGTGGGTGTGGGAAAGTGGACTTTTAAAAAGGACTTTTTACTGCTTTTATTTTTGTGATGTGTTTTGTGTGTTTTTATGGTTTTAATGCATGCATTTTATCACTGTTCCCTGGACACTTCCCCTAACCCGCACCTGTTTTAATCAAGACCTTTTAATTGGGGGCGGGCACTGCAGGACGGGAGGACAGAGAGAGGAAGAGAGACAGGCCAGTCCAAAGGAGGAGGACACAGGACCGGGCCAAGGACGAGCACCGCCAGCCAGAGACCACGGGCCAGCGGGGAGAGCGGCACCGGTGAGGGGGGGCGCATTGATAGCGCATTGGCGCGTGCGCGCCCGGGCTAGGCCCACAGAGAGACCGGGATGTGCCGGCTCTCCCCCGCGGGTGCCCGGTGGCAACCCGTGGTCGGCGAGCGGCTGGCGGGACTGCGGCCCGGTCCCGGGACGGAGAAGACCGGAGACCAGTGGGGAGAAACGAGTGGACTGCGGGTTTTTTATCATCTTTTATGGATCCTTTTATCCCCTTTTTATCCAGTTTCCCTTTTAATGATCACACCCCCTCAACAGACACTTTTAAACCTGTGACATGGGCTACCCAGAAATTTTCCCCATAGAACTCAATGCATATTAAAACAGCTCAACCTCAGCTGACAGAGAACCTACAGCTTTAATAAAGTCCCTTGTCCTCCTGAACTTTTTTTCTTCTTAAATCCTTCGGTTTTCTTTAAATCTACACTTTAGTGCCACAACCTCTGCTCGTCTGGCTCTCGCTCTAACTCCCGCTCCGATGAACTGCTCTGATTGGTCAGAGCGCAGCCGAGCCCCTCTGTGCACGTGCGTCAGACCCGGTGTGAGACCCGGTGTGAGACCCACACACGTGTATTTGGCGCAACGCATTATGGGACATCATCTACTGCGCAGAACCGGGAGGACCAGACGATGCCCAAATACAGGCGAGTTTTCCATAGATCTTTGGGAGTTCCAGGCGACTTCCTTGAAAACGTCCATGAGCATGTGCGCTAACATGCAATACCAACCCGGGCACTCCACCGGAGTGTGGAGAATAATAAATTACCTCAAACAATCTGGCTTCATCTATAATCTACTTCCCATACCCTTGTTAACATTGGTGGCAGCGGTGCCAATCCCCGCTCTGACTCTCCAGAGAGACAGAACCTGAAACACTGTCGGAATATCGTCAACACTTTTTCAACACTCCAGACCAACATTGTGGAGTGGGCCAGACCCCATCTACAACAACTCTGCGGCCCCATGTGAATGATGCCTTTGCCAGTCATGTCACAGCACCTTTCCCTAATACAGTACAACTCCCCTCATATGTATTGGGTATTTTTGAAGGTACAAAGCTGGGTACCTTTAGATAAGATAAGAATTCCTTTATTCGTCCCACAGTGGGGAAATGTTTATGTTGCAGCACACATATAGGACAGTAGCAAGAGCACAGGGAGCACACACAATATATACAATATATATTTGGCCCCCTTGAACCTTTCAACATTTCGCCACATTTCAGGCTTCAAACATAAAGATTTCAAATTTTTATTTTTTGTCATGAATCAACAACAAGTGGGACACAATCGTGAAGTGGAACGAAATTTATTGGATAATTTAAACTTTTTTAACAAATAAAAAACTGAAAAGTAGGGCGTGCAATATTATTCGGCCCCTTTACTTTCAGTGCAGCAAACTCACTCCAGAAGTTCAGTGAGGATCTTTGAATGATCCAATGTTGTCCTAAATGACTGAGGATGATAAATAGAATGCACCTGTGTGTAATCAAGTCTCCGTATAAATGCACCTGCTCTTTGATAGTCTCAGGGTTCTGTTTAAAGCGCAGAGAGAACAATGAAGACAAAGGAACACACCAGGCAGGTCCGAGATACTGTTGTGGAGAAGTTTAAAGCCGGATTTGGATACAAAAAGATTTCCCAAGCTTTAAACATCTCAAGGAGCACTGTGCAAGCAATTATATTGAAATGGAAGGAGTATCAGACCACTGCAAATCTACCAAGACCCGGCCGTTCCTCCAAACTTTCATCTCAAACAAGGAGAAGACTGATCAGAGATGCAGCCAAGAGGCCCATGATCACTCTGGATGAACTGCAGACAACAATCAGTCGTGCACTGCACAAATCTGGCCTTTATGGAAGGCATGGAATTTATCAAAGATATCCATAAAAAGTCTCGTTTAAAGTTTGCCACAAGCCACCTGGGAGACACACCAAACATGTGGAAGAAGGTGCTCTAGTCAGATGAAACCAAAATCGAAATTTTTGGCCACAATGCAAAACGATATGTTTGGCGTAAAAGCAACACAGCTCATCACCCTGAACACACCATCCCCACTGTCAAACATGGTGGTGGCAGCATCATGGTTTGGGCCTGCTTTTCTTCAGCAGGGACAGGGAAGATGGCTAAAATTGATGGGAAGATGGATGGAGCCAAATACAGGACCATTCTGGAAGAAAACCTGTTGGAGTCTGCTAAAGACTTGAGACTGGGACGGAGATTTATCTTCCAACAGGACAATGATCAAAAACATAAAGCCAAATCTACAATGGAATGGTTCACAAATAGACGTATCCAGGTGTTAGAATGGCCAAGTCAAAGTCCAGACCTGAATCCAATCGAGAATCTGTGGAAAGAGCTGAAGACAGCTGTTCACAAACGCTCTCCATCTAACCTCACTGAGCTCGAGCTGTTTTGCAAGGAAGAATGGGAAGGAATTCCAGTCTCTTGATGTGCAAAACTGATAGAGACATACCCCAAGCGACTTGCAGCTGTAATTGCAGCAAAAGGTGGCGCTACAAAGTATTAGCGCAAGGGGGCCGAATAATATTGCACGCTCCACTTTTCAGTTTTTTATTTGTTAAAAAAGTTTAAATTATCCAATAAATTTCGTTCCACTTCACGATTGTGTCCCACTTGTTGTTGATTCTTGACAAAAAATTTAATTTTTATATCTTTATGTTTGAAGCCTGAAATGTGGCGAAATGTTGAAAGGTTCAAGGGGACCGAATACTTTCGCAAGGCACTGTACAAATAAGTAGTAGCTATGTTTCTTAGCAAACATAACTAGCTGTAGATGCTGAAAATGCTTCAATACCAGTCAAAATATATATATATATATGTAGTAGTAGTGCAGTTATATACTGTACAGTTAAATAGTCCAGGATAAGGTAGATAAGGTAGTGCAGGATAAGGTAGATAAGGTAGTGCAGTAGATAAGGTAAAGTGACATTGTTCTGTGACATCCTGAAGTTGCAGTATTGCACATAGCACATGATTTAAGAATTTACTTATTTACAGATGAATGAAATTTACAGGCTCAGCAGTTCTTATTGTACAGTCTGACAGCAGCAGGAAGGAAAGACCTACTGAACCTCTCCTTCACACAGCGAGGGTGAATTAGTCTGTCACTGAAGCTGCTCTCCAGAGCAGAGAGAGTGTCCTGCAGGGGGCGATAGTCATGGTCCAGCATAGATGTTAGTTTGTCCAGGACCCTCCTGTCCCCCAACTGCTGCACTGTGTCCAGGGAACAGCCAAGGACAGAGCTGGACTTCCTGATGACCTTGTCCAGCTTCCTCCTGTCCCTCTCTGTGATGCTGCTGTTCCAGCAGACCACACCGTACAAGATGGCTGATGCCACCACAGAGTCATAGAAAGTCTTCAGGAGTGGCCCCTGCACTCCAAAAGACCTGAGCCTCCTCAGTAGGTAGAGGCGACTCTGGCCCTTCTTGAAGAGGGCGTCTGTGTTATGAGTCCAGTCCAGTTTGTGGTTCAGATGAACACCCAGGTACTTGTAAGAGTCCACTCTCTCAATGTCCTTTCCCTGGATGTTCACTGGAGCTGGAGCAGCAGAGTGACGTCTGCGGAAATCCACCACCATCTCCTTGGTCTTCCCCGCGTTGATGAGGAGGTGGTTCCGCTGACACTAGTCCACAAAGTCCTGAATTACTCCTGTGTACTCTGCGTCATCGTCCTCGGAGCTGAGTCCGATGATGGCAGAGTCGTCTGAGAACTTCTGTAGGACACAACTGTCCGTGTTGTGTCTGAAGTCCGCAGTGTAGAGGGCGCAAGGACAGTTTCCTGGGGGCCCCCACACTGCAGGTCAGGACTTCAGACACAAAGTCCCTGGTTCTCACAAACTGGGATCTGTCTGTGAGGTAGTCCAGGATCCACTGG